GTACCACCGCCCTGCCTATTTCTGCCGTGAAGCAGTAATGCGTTTCGGTTTGAAGGGTGGGGCAGCCGTTGTAACTATACTGATACCTTACAACTTATATCTCAAGGTGGGTGGCGCATTTACGTTGTAGATGTCTATGGGCTCCAGTAACCATTTAACACCAGGTGGGCTGTGAGCTCGTCCAACCATCTAAGCAATAAAAAAAAAATGAACAATAGATGTTTATTATATTGATAGGGATTGATCTGTTCCATTAATCGGCAACAGAGATGCAAAAAACACGCAACAATATTATCATTGTAAACACTAGTGATTGATGGTTTGAATTAAAGCTTTATAGATATAACTGCCATTGAATGTTGATAGATGAGATGTGCTTAGTTGTTGCCTTGATGTTTTAAGTATACCCATAGTAATAAGCTGTTGCTTCCTTACGCTTATCGTAAAGAGATAGTTCTGTAAAAATAGTTACGTAACTATAATTTGTGTTATCTCTAATCCGAATAAAATGAAATTTATGTTGATTGCTGTGTATAACAATACTCGGGCGGTAATGTGAGTTGAAAATATAGCGAAAGTGAATAAATCTTAAATGTATTTATTATTTTTGTATTTTTATTTTGTATTTTTGGTAGGTGAGTTCACGGGACTCAATGTGAATGTATTTGCTAACACTAGCCCAAGCAAGAGCAGTGCTTCGCTGAAAAAGAAAAATAATTTTTTCTACACTATTTTTAATTCAAATTAATTAAAATTTGTTTTCTATTTTTTAGTTGGATTATCTATAAAAGTGTATTTTGTTAGTTTTTTTAAACTATTATTTATTTTTAATTTTTTTGTTGAATTTAAATTTTTTCAACAATTTTTTAATATTGAATTGTCATCTATCCTTAATTACTAAAATTCGAGTTAATCCGACGTTTTGAATGGGGTCAAAATCATGTTCAAAGATTCCGTTACATACTAACATACATACGTCTGAAGCTAATAAAAGCGTATTAGAAAGAAAGAACGAAACGAAATGAATACCAAAAAAACGTTGATAGTTAGCTGTAGCTCTATTTACCATATCAGAACCGCTTCACTGATCTGCTGGAACAGCTGAGGTGACTTAGACACAGAACCAGAAACATGATCTTGTCGTCGTGAATAGCGGGTGAATTATACAAAACTTGTATAACTGCATTGGGCTTTGTGTATTGAAAACAATGAGCAATATGCTATGTCCTACTAGATATGAAGGTTCCGTATAGTTTTGTTTTCTCGAGGAGTCTGATTACCACAAGCACCGGTCACCGTTCTCGCCGAACCCGTCGCTTGCGACGAAGGGCTCGACAAGTAAATGAACCCAAAGACACAGCCCACTGAGTTTCTCGCCAGATCTTCAGTGGGTCACATTTCCGATCCGGTGGTAGATTCAGCGAAGCACTGCTCTTGCTAGGGCCAGTGTTAGCAAAATTCCGGTTTGAGACCCGTGAGCTCATCTGCACTACAAGGAGAAGCTGAAATAGCCTCTCAAGGCTATGAGCATAGGTAGGAATAAAAAGAGTCTGATGCCTAGTGGTAATCGGGGTCCTAGAACTCCAAGCTCTTAATTAGCTGCCAAATGATAATGATAAAACAATATAAAACTCATAATATTTTTTTTTTTTTTTTTTTATTGCTTAGATGGGTGGACGAGCTCACAGCCCACCTGATGTTAAGTGGTTACTGGAGCCCATAGACATCCACAACGTAAATGCGCCACCCACCTTGAGATATAAGTTCTAAGGTCTCAAGTTTAGTTACAACGGCTGCCCCACCCTTCAAACCGAAACGCATTACTGCTTCACGCATAATAATCAACACTAAGGCTTAATTTCACTTTTTTTTTATTGGCCTTATATTATTTCCGAAGTTAAAATGTCGACGAAGAACTCCTTAGTCGTCCGCAATCACAAACATTGCAATGCATTCGAAGAGTCAGAAAAAAAATGATTAAAAAAAACGCTAGATTACCATAAATCTTAAAAGCAATTATATCTCGCGAAAGAACAAAGAAAATATAATAATTTAACAGTCTTGATAGTCAATGAGTATTAAATAAATCTAAAATAATAATTTTTTTTTAGGAAATGTTAGTATTTAAATCACGGAATCTAATCTTCTATCCAGTCGTCGTATTTTCGTTCAAGCTGTGGCCGACTTATGTAGTTTGAGCGGCAATTTCTCCTGTTCCCTATTAAGGTGGAATAGTAATAGGATCCTAGCTTTAAATTAGGAAAATGTGGTTGCTTCGTAGCAGAAATACGGATTCTACGCACACTCACAATAGGACTACGCATACTCTCACCTACAGCGTTAGGAAAATGTTGAGGATTTAATAATTTCACGAAATTGTTTCTTCTCGTTGTTCGTAAACACATTGATGCAGTTCATGATGGTCTACAATAGTTACTTTGAAAGTAACTAATTACATAAAACTACTTCTCCTTTATTTTATTTCAAAACAATTATGCAGTACAAAATCACTAAATAATTTTCTCGTTATTAGCGCAGTCAAGAATTGTAGGTAAGTTTACATATAATATATTACATATTATTATAATATGTACGATAATAATAGTAATGAACAAACCATTTTTACCAAAACTGTTGCTAAAATTACGGTAGCAGCGGTAGGCAACGGCTTGGCTAGCGGTAGGCAGCGGCTTGGCTAGCGGTAGGCAGCGGCTTGGCTAGCAGTAGGCAGCGGCTTGGCTAGCGGTAGGCAGCGGCTTGGTTAGCGGTAGGCAGCGGCTTGGCTCTGCCCTTGGCATTGCTGAAGTCCATGGGTGACGGTAACCACTCACCATCAGGTGGGCCGTATGCTCGTCTGCCTACAAAGGCAATAAAAAAAAAAATAATTGTATCCGACATATGTATTTGTCGATGTAAGTCATCGTGGTCTAAAAGATAAGACGCCCGGGACATTCGTATTGAGACGCGATTGTGCCGGTGTTCGAATCCCGCAGGCAGGTAGGTGAAAGAACACTATTGTGTAATAAAAATCAAACCTGAAAAAAATATTGGGTGCATACATATATTATTATATGTGAAAATATTGTTGGCGAGCTCATTCAGCTGGGTATAATTTTATTGCCCTTTTATGCAGATGAGCATACGGCCCACCCGATTGTGAGTGGTTACCGTCGCCCACGAACTTCAGCAATGTCAGGGGCAGATCTAAGCCGCTGCCTACCAGGTTAAGCAATAAAAAAAAACTGAAATTTCAAGTTTGAAAGTAATTTTTAAATTATCTCCAGAATGCTTATATTTATAACTAGCTGACCCGGCAGACTTCGTAGTGCCTCAATCGATAAGTAAAAGACCTAAACTTTTGTATAAAATAAACTTAAAACAAACAAAAGGAATCGGTCCGACGAAGGACACATCAAAGGAAAAACAAAATTGTTATTTTTATTTAATTCCGAGCATTTTCATATTTATATACCTTTTAAACCTTCTCTGGACTTCCACAAATAATATTCAAGACCAAAAGTAGCCAAATCGGTTCAGCCGTTCTCGAGTTTTAGCGAGACTAACGAACAGCAATTCATTTTTATATATATAGAGACATGTTAATATAATATTTAAAAGGACTTCACTGGTATTTTATGTTGCAAAAGAAAAAACTACTCTAGCATACGAAATTTCGAATAGTTTAAATTGTTGCGTCAAGTGATTGTAAAATTTTGAAGCTAAATTCTTTCAGTGACTCTCGTCTGATTTATGTTAGAATTATCTATACCTGAATAGGCCAAGTTGTAATAGTTAAGTTCTCTTTATCTTTGTCAACCGATATTTTTTAATAGCTCTATTAGCAAGTGTTAACAAATTCTAGAGTTTTGTTTTTAAATAGCCAGTTTATTTTTATTTTTAAATTTTTATTCACAATACAAAGTGAAATATTAATACATAAATTTAATACAAATCTTGAGATATCAACGTTTAAGGTCGAATTTAGATCGCTTGGCGGACTTTAGTAATAATAAATAAAACAGGCTTTTGGAGATGCAGACGAGCTCACGAAACATGAGGTCCAAGTCTCAATTACACTGGAACACTGAGTTTCCTCTCTATCTGACGAGCGTGATGAGACGCTGGGCGTCGAAATGTCAGTTCTCAACTTATCTTTTTAATCAAATCCACATTTTTTATTGCTTAGATGAGAGGACGAGCTCACAGCCCACCTGGTGTTAAGTGGTTACTGGAGCCCATAGACATCCACAACGTAAATGCGCCACCCACCTTGAGATATAAGTTCTAAGGTCTCAAGTATAGTTACAACGGCTGCCCCAGCCTTCAAACCGAAACGCATTACTGCTTCACGGCAAATATAGGCAGGGTGGTGGTACCCGTGCGGACTCACAAGAGGTCCTACCACCAGTAAAAATCGCTAAACGTGTATTATTGATAAAGTCGATTCACCGTACATTTTCATATGACCTAAAATTAGCATCTAATATTGAATTTGATGAGTTTGGACTGAAAGTGATCCTCCTCCTCGCGTCATTTTCCTCATTACTGAGGGTCGTGACTCCCCCGCTGCATCAGTTTCTCCCGTACGATTTCCCTCCATCTGCTGCGATCCTTAGCTTCATGAAGGGCATTGTGGAAGTTATTGTTTAGAGAAGATCGTATTTGGTCCGACCATCTCGTGGGACTGCGTCCTCTGGGACGTTTGCCATTTACCTTTCCTGTCACCATCAGCTGTTCTAGATTGTGACCCTCTTTACGAGCAATATGAATAATTCCACCCTACGAAGGCATATAGTGGATAGTCTGGTTTTGATATGAAGCTCTCTCAGAATGGACACGTTGGTGCGAAAGGCGGTCCATGAAAGTGTTAACAGTCATCAAGTTATCACTAGAAATCGTTGCCAATAGTATTAGGAACATTAATATTTTATACAACTGTATATAACTGTAATACGATCACTACCTTCGTATGTAATGAGAACCCTTATAAAATATTTCTGATTTATTACTATATCATGTGTATAATCGCTTTCAAGTATTTATAAAAAATAAATATAAAAATCACACAAGATTAAATTTATTTTCCCGGTGCAGGCGTCGCAGCAGCCGGCGCCGCCGCCGCCGGAGCTGGAGTCGCTGCGGCAGCTGGTGCTCCTGCAGCCGCTGGTGCTCCTGCAGCCGCTGGAGCTGGAGTTTCCGCTGCAGGTGCCGCTGCTGCAGGTGCCGCCGCTGCAGGTGCCGCCGCTGCAGGTGCCGCCGCCGCAGGTGCTGCTGCTGCAGGTGCCGCCGCTGCAGGTGCCGGTGCGGGCGGAGCCGCCACAGCTGGCTCGGGATTCGTTGCAGCTGGAACCGGCTGAGCAGCTCCAGCAGCTGTTCCCATCGTGGCCCCCGATTGCGAAACGAACGGAATCATGCTGACCTGATATGCTCCACTCACTTGTGATATTGTCATATTAAGCCCATTTTGGGCTGCTGAAATGCATAAAATTATATCATTTTAATAGGCTTTTATTAGCTTCAAAGATATGTATGTATGTTTATAATGGAATCTTTGAACAAGAATTTGAACCCCATCAAAACGTCGGATTAACTACAAATTTGGAATACATATTAAGGACCTATGACAATCCAATATTTAAAAAAAAAACTTGAAAAAATATATTGAAAAAATTAAAATTCAACTAAAAAATTAAAAATAAATCATAGTTTAAAAAAAACTAACAAGATGGATTTTCAATAAAAGCGTATTTTGTTAGTTTTTTTAAACTATTATTTATTTTATTATTTAGATACATTCAACATTTAAAACGTAAAGATGATTTGATTCCATCTGTTCCTAAATCGAAGACCATCAAAAACTAAACGCAAAATTTCTTTTCCATGTTAAGACATTGAATTGACGTCGCCCTTGCAATTGTACCCTTCAGTAACATTAACTCAATAGTATCATGCATCTAATGCGAGATATTGCAGGTGAGACTGTGTTACATTTACCCAATTACTCTAACATCGCCATAATACGTAAGTACGTTACGCGAGGCATAATATTGAGGGCGACGTTCACATACCATTTTGGGAGGTTTAACTATAAAGGGAAAATATTTCACCGAGCGAGTCTTATTGTTCGTAATTTGTATAATGTATATGGAAGTTTATCTTGAAAATGTCGTAAACTAGATTCAGGCATCTGTCAAACATCTTGGGTTCTATGGTGGCTACCCACCACACTATCCAACAGCGACGCGGTCCAAAAAGACAGGAAATTATTATTTTGGCCAAAATTCTATTTTGGAAATGAGAGTATAATATTATCTCAATTGTATCTATTTTAGAAACGGATGTTGGCAGAAACAGATAGAATGGTGGAGACTACCGCTTTATATATATAAAAAAAAACTTACATAGCATCAAATTTGGGAGCATAAGTGCTGGGGCAGGAGATACTGTGGTGGTCGTCCGTCTCCGGGGAGTGCAGTCGTCACAGTAATCGTAATCGTCAGAACTGGATGTCGAAGAGTAATCCTCGTCGCAGAACAAATCGCACCAGAAACCGACACCGAAGAATGGCTGAACAAACGTGAGGTAGTTCTTGAGAACACTGTTATTTATGATTTATACGAACATAGCAAAAAAGTATGAATAGTTAAAGAATTTTCTTAATTCAGTGTTGAATTTTCCATCAAGGGCGTCCAATATCTATGTACAGGATACCTATGCAAGATAAATATGAAACGAACAAAAATCAAAACCTGATTGTATAGCTTTACAACTTGGACTTGGATAACTTCAATAGGTATATACCGTAGTTAATAGAAATATAGTTTAGTGAACAGTAAAAGAGGAAATGTTTTGTCTTAATAAATCTGGCGGTACCCGTTTTCATTCCCAAATCAAAGGTTCCATCAAGCTTTTTGTAAATTTATCAAATACTTCGAAAATCTGATTAGGTAACCTTTTCATTACTACATTGAATTTAGTCTTCAATCTAATAGTAGCTATTATTTTTGCTGATATCTCAAATATGTACAAGAGTAAGCTGATTGAATTAAAATGGCGTTTAGACAAGTTTGCATATTTTTATAAAAAATATACCTGAATGTATTATGTGTATTACACCATTGGCTAATGAATATCATTATTAAAAAAAAAATCTAGCGTTATATTTTGGAGAAAAAAATATAAACATTATATTTTGCAGTTAAAATTTTAAAGATTATCAAAACAAGTTAACAACGAAAACTGTAGAGAAACTTAGCAACGAATTGTGAAATCAAAATAATGAATAGTAAATCAATATAAAAAAAAAAAAAACTAATAATCATCGTTTTATTAAAATAAATATAGCAAAATAAGTATTTAAATAAGATTATTTATACTATACCTATATCACTAAGCTAGGCAATTTGTTTTGTGTTTGATTATTTTTAGAAAACAGTCTCCTAAATTTACTGCTTTCGTCGACACATTCTAACTACTATCTTAAATACGTAAATCAAACAAAATACACTGTTTTTATTATTATTTTAATTATTTTTAACTAATTATAAGCAACGGACTAACCTTTCCTGTGACATTCTGTAAAGTCGCGTATATCACGAAAACGTACACACACAAACGCGCGGCCATCATCGAATGTTCGTTTTCATGAAAGAAAAAACGTTCAGTACGTTTTATTTCTTACTTATAAACGCGGCTTTTGCGTAAGACTGCGGTACTAATGTATTGCCAAAGAATATATGCGATGTTTTAGTTGGATACGCGTAAAGGACGTGTACCCAGGGTCGGCAGTAGGTACTTACATCCTATTGTTTCATACTGTATCGGCTTATGCTGTTGAAACAATATGGTTTTTAATAAGAGTGAATATTGTGAGTGCGTACGGGCAGATACTATAATCTTACCTATTTCAGCCCCTAAATTGAGTGGTGGTCTTTTAAGAGTCTCAAGGCGGTTTTGTTTATGGCCTGAGTTCGCACGTGCACATACTATAATCTTACCTATTTCAGTCCCTAAATTGAGTGGTGGTATTTTAAAAGTCTCAAGGCGGTTTTGTTTATGGCCTGAGTTCGCACGTGCAGATACTATAATCTTACCTATTTCAGCCCCTAAATTGAGTGGTGGTCTTTTAAGAGTCTCAAGGCGGTTTTGTTTATGGCCTGAGTTCGCACGTGCACATACTATAATCTTACCTATTTCAGTCCCTAAATTGAGTGGTGGTATTTTAAAAGTCTCAAGGCGGTTTTGTTTATGGCCTGAGTTCGCACGTGCACATACTATAATCTTACCTATTTCAGTCCCTAAATTGAGTGGTGGTATTTTAAAAGTCTCAAGGCGGTTTTGTTTATGGCCTGAGTTCGCACGTGCAGATACTATAATCTTACCTATTTCAGCCCCTAAATTGAGTGGTGGTATTTTAAAAGTCTCAAGGCGGTTTTGTTTATGGCCTGAGTTCGCACGTGCAGATTCTATAATCTTACCTATTTCAGCCCCTAAATTGAGTGGTGGTATTTTAAAAGTCTCAAGGTGGTTTTGTTTATGGTCTAAGTTCGCACGGGCAGATACTATAATCTTACCTATTTCAGCCGCTAAATTTAGTGGTGGTTTTTTAAAAGTCTCAAGGCAGTTTTGTTTATGACCTGATTTCGCACGGGCAGATACACGACATCTGCTCAATGGGTCGCGATTCCGCTCCGGTGGTAGAATCAGCAAAGCACTGGTCTTGCTAGTTCATATGTTAGCTGTCTCTCAAACTGACCCTCGTGAGCTTCGCCTAAAGCCAGAATAGCTCCTTTCGCCTACTTCCAGTAAGTAGGCAAAAAAAAAGCATAAAGTAAACGCGTTTGCTATAGTCGTCGTTCCTCGTTCTGAAGTTCATCAATAAGATTTGGAACCTCTTGCAAAACAATTAAAGTGTACTCCTGCTTACTTTGTGGTAGGTGTCCCATCCACTTTGTCTTTTCCAGTGGAAAAAGGGCATTATAGACTCTTCATGAAGTTGTCGTGGCCTAAAGGATAAGCCGTCCGGTGCATTCGTATCTAGCGATGCACCGGTGTTCGAATCCCGCAGGCGGGTACCAATTTTTCTAACGAAATACGTACTTAACAAATTTTCACGATTGACTTCCACGGTGAAGGAATAACATCGTGTAATAAAAATCAAACCCGAAAAATTATGATTTGCGTAATTACTGGTGGTAGGACCTCTTGTGAGTCCGCACGGGTAGGTACCACCGCCCTGCCTATTTCCACCGTGAAGCAGTAATGCGTTTCGCTTTGAAGGGTGGGGCAGCCGTTGTAACTATACTTGAGACCTTAGAACTTATATCTAAAGGTGGGTGGCGCATTTACGTTGTATATGTCTATGGGTTCCAGTAACCACTTAACAGCAGGTTGGCTGTGAGCTCGTCCACCCATCTAAGCAATAAAAATAATAATTTCTGAGGACTACAAGAAACGTGCCCGGCCTAAACTCATTTAAAGAGCTTAGCATCAAACCGTGCGCTCATCTACCCATTTCAACAGATGACAAATAATGGGTTCAACCCTCTGGGTTAATTCCAAAGAACAGTTTCATTCTATTACCACGTTTTTTTGGATGACTAATACTTTCATAATTTTGACTTTGTTTAATAATCAAAGTCACTATTCAAATAAACGTAGTGGCGTATATAACAATACAAGACTCCTTATGTATTTCGTAACATTCACATTTTCAGTCTTGTGTACATCACCTTGGGGAAAAACATGAAAATTCAGATAATGACAATTGTTAAACATTATCGTTCCGCTTGAAACACTACTTCGTTTGTTACGGTTATGTTTCAATATTAGACACGGTCAAGTTCGAATGTCATAATATATCTATGTACGTTATACCTATGCTATATTTTTAATAAAATCTATAGGTATATATAAAAATGAATTGTTGTTCGTTAGTCTCGCTAAAACTGGAGAACGGCTGGACCGATTTGGCTAATTTTGGTCTTGAATTATTTGTGGAAGTCCAGAGAAGGTTTAAAAGGAGGATAAATATGAAAATGCACGGAATTAAATAAAAATAACAATTTTGTTTTTCCTTTGATGTGTCCCCCGTCCAACGGATTCCTTTTGTTTGTTTTAAGTTTATTTTATACAAAAGTTTAGGTCTTTTATTTATCGATTGAGGCACTACGAAATCTGCTGGGTCAGCTAGTAAATAATAAAAACTACTAAGTCAATTTCGGTATCCACTATAAAATAAAAAAATAAACAATTACTTTCCGTTGCACACATATCTTTCTCTCGCTAAGAGAGAGTTCCTTATCCATCAAATTGTAATGCATGTTTGTTTTGCAGTGTATGAGATCTTGCGAGATGCCCTTTGAAACAAGCCGGTTAGGAAATGGGTAACAGTTGCTTGAGGAATTTGGCAAAACGTTTCTCTTAACAATAACAACAGTGGCGTATAATTATCATTGAGATCCTATGTCCAAATTGAAAGAGAAGTAGTTAACGACATAGCCTTAAAATTTGTGTTTGAATAGTCAATGTAATGGTAGGAATTGTCATTATCGCAAACCTACAAAAGTGACTATACCGCCTTTTCTATACGGTAGCAACACGATGTGCTATGAGTACTTATGTCTTCTAGCTTGACCGGTAAGATTAGTCTGTTTCGTGTTATGGATTTTTCAACCACGTTATAGACGATTTTACGCTAGTACTGTAGCTGTGGTATGTCTTCATCCCGCAGAGGACTGGACTTTGGAAGAACTCAGTCTGTGAATAAAGGCCATAACCCTAAAGATACTCATAGCGAAGGGCAATAGTCGCGATGTAGTTTGGACGAATCTCACACTGTAATTCGCAAACCGTCTTCGCCAAACAAACTAACCGCTCAGTCACCTGTAGTTAGATTTTTTCTATTTCAATGTAAATTATGTATGTAAATGAGTTCGTGTTCGGACCCCAAAGAATACTAATGATGTACACGTGTTCTATCAGTAATATACGTGCATATATTGTGGACGTACCTACTGTATACAGGGTTTTTGATTAGCTGTGGGTATTACTTACTTACTTACGGAGCACATTCTTGACTTCTTGTGGACTCAGAATTTTATTGTGAATCTAGTACCTAAGTACATGGGTACGGCATTTTTTTATTTTAATTTTATTGCATAGGTGGACGAACTCACGGCCCACCTGATGTTAAGTGGTCACCGGAGCCCATAGACATCTACAACGTAAATGCCGCCACCCACCTTGAGATATGAGTTCTAAGGTTTTAGTTATAGTACAACGGCTGCCTCACCCTTCAAACTGAAACGCATTACTGCTTCACAGTAGAAATAGGCAGGGTTGTGGTACTTACCCGTGCGGACTCACGAGACGTCCTACCGCCAGTAATTACGCATATAATAATTTTGCGGGTTTGATTTTTATTACACGATGTTATTTCTTGACCGTGGAAGTCAACCGTGAACATTTGTTAAGTACGTATTTTATTATAAAAATTGGTACCCGCCTACGGGATTCGAATGCATCTCATCTGCGGTGCATCGCTAGATACAAATGCATCAGATGTCATGTCCTTTAGGCCACGACAATTTCTACCATGGAGCATTAGGTGGTTTCGTTAGCCTTATTCCAATCTGTATTTCAGACTTCATAGACCACAATTTCCTGGTTGGAACCATCATAAATGCTTTTTGGTGACGAAGTATCCGTTAAAGCATGCGAATGGTGAATGTTTGTTGATGGATGGTTTTTCCGCTGAATTAATACAAGCCATTAGTTAAAAAAATAACAATTTTACGAAAAATCTTTAATTATTCAAAATAATTAATATAATTTGGTGTGAATTAAACCATTATTTCTTTTAATGACCGAAGACCTTGTAACTGACAGATGGTCTTATCAGTTTCTTGCTCTGGGCATCCAGCATCAAGGGTCCGAAGTTAGGGTTCGGGGGCTTCACGGCGCAGTCGTCGTGAGGGATCGCGAACACATAGTTGATATCTACTTCGAATCTGAAACGTAATAAAAACTAACTAGAGGTCCCGCAGTAGTCGAAATTCGACTATAATTAATTGGAATTGTAAGTTTGTACACTATTATGATTGTATTTTATACTTCTATAATCACAAATTTCGCCAATACAATACACCATAAAAAATATTAACAAAGACAAACAATATTTAATCTCAATTTGACGACAGACGTAAAGAACAAAAGTTTGACAATAAATAGTATGCATGCGTGTGTGCGTCAAATACATGGTACCTATGTAGTGTGTGTAATGTTTGCTTTATTGATTTAATGTATCTTTTATGCATTATTTAAAAAAAATATTAGCATTGTGCACTTCTTCTCTATATTCTCTATAAGTGTGGAAAATTTCATACTCCTCCGTCCGCGCACTTTTCGTAAAAATGGATACAAAGTTTTTGCTTCACGTATTAATATATAAAAACTAATTTTGAAAGGCTTTTGTTAGCTTGGTATCTTTCTATCTATCTAACGGAACCTTTCAAAATAATAAATATCACAAGCTTCAAAAGGTCCGATTAACCTGAAAACTTACACACGCATCAAGGAGCAATGACGTTACAATAATTTTATAACTTCGTCCTAATATACTGAATATACTGATAAACAAGATGAAACAATAAGGCTTAAATATTTTATTCAAACTAATTCTTTGAACAATAACTACCCTTCCACTCTATCACACTCTTACAATCATCTTAAATCAAAACTATCGATGCATTTATGTATAGATTTATATCCTACGATGTTAGATATAATGTTAGGTCATGTGAGAATGTTGTTTGGATAAAAATTATGGTCTTGATGTCTCTAGGCGTCTTATCACGCTCGGCACATGGATGAGAAACCCAGCAGTCCTGTGTAATTGAGACTTTGTACTCATGTTTCTCGAACAGGTTTGTTCATCTCCACGAATTTGTTTTTACTATTACTAGCCTTTGCCGAAATGATCGAAATTCGAACAATATCATTGATACCTCAAGATTTATTTACCTTTTCTCTTATGTGTCGTTATTGACAGTTTTTTCCGTGGTATAACAATATGTCCAAAAAATAAAAAAAATAATGTCAGGAGTGGACAACCCTTATCACTTAGGGGTATGAAAAATAGATAGTAACCGATTCTCAGACCTGGTCATGCATATAAAATTTTATAAAAATCGGTCAAACCGTTTCAGAGCAGTATGGTAACTAACATTGTGACACGAGAATTTTATATATAAGACTAGCTGACCCGGCAGACAACAAAAGGAATCCGTCCGACCACCGTCACATCAAAGGAAAAACAAAATTGTTTGTTTTCATATAATTCCGAGCATTTTCTGGACTTCCACGAATAATTCAAGACCAAAATTAGCCAGATCGGTCCAGCCATTCTCGAGCTTTAGCGAGACTAACGAGCAGCAATTCGTTTTTATATATTATCTTATATCTTTAAACGAGCAATTCTTGTATATAAATATATATATAATCTGTATCTCGGAAACGGCTCCAAACAATTTTCATAAAGTTTAGTCTACAGGGGATTTTAGGGGCGATAAATCCATCTAGCTACGATATATTTCCAGAAAATATTATTTTATTCGTGTTTTAATAATCAACTTTATTGACAATTATGATTTTTTCTTTAAATATTTTTCCAGTTCATATTTTTTTTATTATTCTGTCGGTAAGATTGAAATATATAATTCATATTTCATCATTTTATCAATACGTAATTCGTATTTAAATATAATTTCTAAAAAACACAATTTATAAAAATAAAAAAACCGAGCCAAGTGCGGTCATTATCTACTATAGATTCCAGTGCACCACGTAGGGCACTTGTGACTTACACGGCAGTCAAAGGGTTAATGACATTATCATTGACGGCTATAGTTTTATTTAGGAATCGAATCGTAGAATCTAGATCATAGATTACCTTGGCAGTTTGTCTCGCAGGTACGCCATCACGTTCTTCTGCAGTTTGGTTGTCCTGGACAGAACGAATGCGGTGAGGTAACGAGCGCCTTCCGTCTGCTCCGCGCAGTGCAGCAGTAACGCCCAAGTTTTATATTCTGTGTCTATCACGTACGTATTGTAAATGCCGTCATCTGCGAATGGGAAAACGTGGATGTGAAGGATCAAATTAACCAATTCTGCTCAATCCTTTAAACGAGCAATTCTTGTATATATGTATATAATCTGAATCTCGGAAACGGCTCCAACGATTTTCATAAAATTTAGTATACAGGGGATTTCGGGAGCGATAAATCGATCTAGCTACGATTTATTTTTATAAAATGTTGTTGTATTCGTGTTTTCAATAATCAACTCTTCCCGACATCTATTGGCGAATAATAATACTATTTTTCTTAATTGAGAGCAACTAACCAAGACGGCGTTATCAAAAAAAAAAACCGAGCGAAGCTCGGTCATCATCTAGTAATTGTTTAAGGGACTACGGATTTGCGCACGTATTTGGTAAACCGTTGAGTACGTTTCTGGTTGGTTGAGTTTTTTTGTCACTGACACAGATTTTCTTTGTCTTTCTTGTCACTTAGACGGGTGGACAAGTTTATGATCCACTCGGTGTGAAGCGATGGAGCCCATGACGTCATAACTTTAAAATACCCAAGTCGTTTGACAGATGAGGTCGATGTCTCACTTGTATTATTTAATGATTATCCCTCCCTTCAAACCAGAAAGCGTTATATTCCTTGGAAGAAATAGCCAGAGTGGTGCCAGGTACTTATAAGACCTTACAATACCCCCCAACAGCAGTAAATGCAGTTGGAAATCGAAGTATGCTGGTAATACTCAGAGAAGGCCGATGTCCATTCTCCGGTAAGTCCCTTAGCTACCTTCCGCGTTACCCTCGGGGTGAGGTGAGGGTTCAGCTAAATCGTCTACCAAAACCAGGCTTTGCACAATTTAGTTAATTTAAAATGTCTTCACTGATTCACCAAACTCTATTTAAATAGGTAAAGATATAAAGATAATAATTTTTACATCATAAACAAAAAAGCACATGTGACGATAGTGTGGTGTGATTGATAGTTCTCCTCGACTCGCAGTGCTGTAAAAATAATCGATTCTTTACAAATTGGAATATACAATACGTAAATGCTATCTCAAGATATAGAATAATACATATAAGGTCGTTGTCAAACCAAAATCTGCTGCACTTTTTGAGATTTTTACTTTTTGACCTTTTTGTATAGTTCACAGCCCTATCTACCGTATAAAAAAACTGTTATGTGTCTATAGCTTTAATATTAATCTATAGCTTTCATTTGATATAGTTCTTAAAAATTCACTTTCACATAAAATTGTATACAAAATTGCCCAATTTTTTTTTTTTAGCAGATTTTTGTTTGACAGCGACGACAAGCTATAGAAGTGTCTGTTTGTCTGTTGTGAATCGAGTGTGTGAACAAGCCTCTTGGTTATTAATTTAAATACTGACATGTGCTTTCAGCGTGTGTCCAGTGCGCAGGCTGGTTCAGATCGATCTTCCAGGTAATGTTTCCGAAGAGAGTCTCGCCTATGGGGTCGTCCGCGAACCGGTACGTAAAGTTCATGGTCACTCCTGGCGTCCACTCTATTGTACCATCTGAAAGTAAGGTCTTATTTGTAGTGTAGTGAACCATTGGCCTGCTTAAACAGTTACAGCCTTGCTTCGGTTGGGAGAGAACAGAACTAGAGCCTGATATATTTCAACGTTTTTATTTTATTGCCCTTGTAGGTAGACGAGCATGAGGCCCACTTGATGAGTCGTTACCGTCGCCCATGAACGTCAGCAATGGTAAGGGCAGAATTAAAGCCGCTTTCTACCGTTAAGTAGGTACTCTCAACAAGCCTCGTTTGAAGAAGGACAAGTCATAGCACGTATACATAACTATACATACAAAGAAAGTGTACTCGAAGTTAATTCAAAAAATTGTGTGCAGTTGAAAAATCTAAATATATGCGTTAGTTAAAATTCGCAAGTATCTCTAATTGTCCTTGGACTCAGCACGTGACATCCGTTACAATTTACACAATACATAAAACACAACATGTCGACTTCATATTATTATGATAAGAATGCATTGTCCGACACACAAGTCTTATTGTTACTGTGTATGTACCTATATGAGTATATGAGTATGTGTAGTAAAAATAGCAAAACATGTTTATCAAGTACATATTTGCTTTCCATGTTTATATGTAAACCAAAGAAAGAAGTGTAGTTCACTTTTTTCTGTCCATATTTGGAATCTTTCGGAATAGGACGGGCTTAGTTTTTTAAAAAATAGCTTCCAAATGAATTAATTTATAATTAAATTTTTATAGGTTGCTTTTTGTTCCTGCATTTTTGCTTTCCAAGCACAATAGGCAATGCTTCGCAGAATCTACCACCGGATCGGAAACATAACCCATTGAGAAGATCCGGCGAGAAAGTCGGTGGCCTGTGTCTATGGGCTAATTTAGTCGTCAAGCCCTTCGTCGCAAGCGAACCCGTCGCCGGCGAGGACCGTGACCGGTGCTTGAGGTACCTAAAAGCACAGTTAATGGATCGGGAGGATCCGTAATGGCGTGTTTAAGGCAACGTCGACTGTTTACTAGACACCTACTAACTAGATAAATAATTAAATTAGTACTGAATGCTATTAAATTTTTAAATTTCAGATACTGCAATGTGTCCACAAAAATCTCTTTGATATTAACACTTTCTATAATAAAATTAAAGCTTCACCAACCTATGGCGGGTACGTGATCGTCCTGAGTAAACACGGCTTTCATACAACTGTATGAGAGCGCTTCTTCAGCACTCGCGTAGTACTCAACCACATACCAGTCTCCCAGTATCTGAAATGGAATTTTAACTACATCAAAATAAAGTCGTATTTCAGTTTTACGTTCAGTCACAATTCCAGTCTAAGCTTCACGGAGAATGCGCGACGTACTGAAACGTCACAAGTTATTTAAAATTCTTAATGCAAGTGACTGTCGACCGTAACTAAATATATTAAGGAACGTTTTTGCTAGTTTGTGATTTGGGTCTAAGCATCAAATTAATACAAAGGAAGCGCCTGTTAATTTAAATCAGGTTTGTTACTGTAATTCTCGCGATCAATTTTAACTTCTGAGCATGAGAAATAAAACCGAATTTTGCATATCATCCTTTCAAAATTTAAAACAAAACTAAAACACGAACGCATGTTATGACAAAGTTTATATGAAGCATTTTGCTCAATTTATTACGTTAGGCGCTTTGTTTTTACAAACAATAATATCAGAAACTATTGTATTAATACATATTTATGCGGTATTGGATTTTGTTAGATAAGAAGTTTTAATGTAAATGAGGAAACTAGCTATAAGTTATGAAAATGCTATCGAATACTTCTATATTATAATGTTTAATCATTTATAGTACATACAGTGGAGGAATTTGTTGCCAAGAAGTCTCGCGTCTTAAATAATGTATGTATATAAGTGTATATGTGTGTCTGTAATAATAATAATTTATGGTCTCGCGTTTGGAGAGCCGGAATGGCTAAGTTCTGTTCTAGAAATGAGGGTAGTTTTTTTTAAATTGTCATATAAACGTCTGCCAAGTAGTGGTCACAAGTGATGGATGAGACATCTTTCATCAGACATTCGCGGTACGACGTACCTTTACCCTGATAACTCTTGACCACCATATTGCCCGTGCACTTGTTACGCGAAACATAAAAAAAGATTCTATGATATCACCTAAACCATCCATCATCACTTACAGAACAAAAACTGGTATGAACATAACTTTTTTACCTATCTAGATGAATAAGTTCTTCTTTGACTAATAAATGACTAATTCTTTGACTTTTGACTAAATGATTGAATGAAAAAAGATATAACAAAAGTCTATGCTAAACAGTTCTTATTTTGTAAATGACTTACTTTCAAAATTTACCCATGTTCAAATTATTGATGATTTTAATGTAATTATGATTTTTTGTGATGCATACAAATACCACCGCCCTGCCTATTTATGTTTCGAAGCTATCATGTTTTTGGGTTTTGGGCCCAGCATTGTTGATACTTAAAGCATGTGCATTAGCCTATTAGGGATTTAGATTACGTTAGAAGGAATGGTCAAATTTTAACCTCAGGCCTCCAGTTTACGGCTCCACTACCAGCTACAACTAACTATAACAAGAACCTAGACATTTTAAGGTCGCATACCGCTACACATTTACATAATTAAATATATTCATTTCAAACTTACGACCTGTTGACATTTACATAAAACGATCAATACCTGTTAAATGGATACATAGCTTTTACCGGAATACAAAAAAGAAATTAATTTGTATAAACATAAACTTTAATATATGGAGATGCTTTAAGCACGGTGACCTGTGCTATGCCTGCTGCTAGCGTTAGAACTAGTAGTGTATAACATTACCGAGAGTAGTTCAGATTGTTTTACCCTTATTGAACTGCCAGTTTTAGGTTAGCTTAGCATGGGAGGTTTAAATACAATATATTTTGTAACTTATACGCTTTATTATAATAAAATAGTATACACAGTGGGCATCATTGGGCCATTTTGAAAAGGTAGCATGTCACGTAAACTCTTTTGTCGTGGCCGCCGGCAATGACATACCCGATTCTGTGAATCGAATGGTAAACAGTCGACGTCACGCAAAACACGTCATTACGGATCCTCCCGATCTATTAATGGTGCTTTTAGATACCTCAAGCACCGGTCACCGTCTTCGCTGAGCCCGTCGCTTACGACGAAGGGCTCGACGACTAAATTAGCCCTTAAACACAGCCCACTGAGTTTCTCGCCGGATCTTCTCAATGGGTCGCGTTTCCGATCCGGTGGTAGATTCTGCACTGTTCTTACTAGGGTCAGCGGTTTGAGCCCCGTGAGCTCACCTACACGTTAAGGTGAAGCTGAAATAGCCTCTCAAGGGTATCAGCATATGTAGAAAAAAAAAATTGTCCGTCCACTTTTTGATTATACGACAGCAGCCACTCTTTTCGGCATTGACTCTGCAAACTTAAAACATTCTTTTTTGGAAACAATTGTTACCACTCTTCCTTAAAAGCAGCCAGTAGTGTGTTGTTATTAGTTATCGAGTGTCTCCTTGTCTTTTCTTTAAAATAGACTAAATAAATGCTCAATCGGATTGAGGTCCGGCGATTGCGGTGAGTCCAGTCTATAGAACGAAATGTCCTCGACATTTTATGAAGGTACATCATCATCATCATCATCAGCCTATATCAGTCCACTGCTGGGCATAGGCCTCTCCAATTGCTCGCCACTGAGCACGATTCTCGGTTTCTCTTATCCAGATCCTGCCAACCACCCTGCACAGAGCGTCACTCCATCGAGCCTGAGAGTATCCTGCACTTCGTTCGCCAATTAACCAGCTTCCCAGGTAACCTAGCAACATTATAAATGTACATCGTTTCTTAAACATTTTTAAATCCATACAGTAATTTTCAGCAAAATTAAAATTGTAAAAAATAGTGTTTTTATGGCGTGTCCGTCAGTCAGTTATCAATGACAAGCGTCCGGCGCCTACGCAACTTGCTCGGACCAATACTGACCCGTTTGTGACTTGTTGTGCGATAGTTCATATTAATCGACTGATACTTCTTATGAAGAAGAAACAGCTAGCAACTTCAAAACCGTTAATGTAACAAGGAACATGAAGATGTACATGTAAATCTTTTTGTACATGCACATGTAAATCTTTTTGATTACGCTACTCAAAAAGATTTACATGTGCATCTTCTGCATTTGAACAATTAATTTCATTTGTACATAAAATTAGTCTGATGTCCTGATCGTATGGTGCAATCTCGCCTGGGGTCGTATTACCGTGCTGTATATTTCTACAAGCGTACTTTGCAGTTTGAAAGTTAAGATGAAACTATAGTTTAAAAACGAGAAAATACGCTTTGATAACCAACCTTTAATAGCAAATTCATTTTTTTTTTGTCTTAATCAACCTAATGCAGCCCAAGTAATAAAATTATTGTACTGTCGTCGGTTCTAGAATGTGTGTAATTTTTTTCTGTCGTAGTAGTTTTAATATTTTTTTTATTTTTTTTATTGCTTAGGTGGGTGGACGAGCTCACAGCCAACCTGGTGTTAAGTGGTTACTGGAGCCCATAGACATCCACAACGTAAATGCGCCACCCACTTACTTTACTTTGTAAGATTCATTACTATAGATTAATACAGGTCAAGCTAATAAAAACGTGAAACAAGAAACTGCTCTTTTGAATCCAGTTTCTTCCGAGCTATACATATTGTTCCAAAATGGGTTATTGAGAAATAATTGTCTTTTATGGCATATATCTTCGTATCGCACGCGGAATTCAAGTCCGGAGACAGATGACCGTGTGTGATTTGTTCCAGAGTTTCCATTATTATGACGAATCGTTGGGTAAGATCTAGAATTAAAATTTTTCACATTCGAGGTCGTTTTTTACATGAATTTTGAACACCTTCAACTATTAAACGATCAGAAACAATATTTTGAATTTAGGTACAAATTATAGTAAGGTGATTAAAAATTTCATTATCTATGTTACCGGTTCAAGTTTTTGGTCTTTAATCGCAATGTAGGGGTGAACGAACTCATAGCTCACTGGAATCGAGGTACACATAATGTTAACAACCCACCCTGAGACATAAGATCGAAATTTCATTACTTTACCTTAATATATACTGCCACTTCCACTCATCAAACTGGACTGCATAATAACTTCTAGAGAGAAATACCTTTGACATTTCTTTAACTTTTTTTTAAGGAATTATATGACCTGGTAACGAAGACCTTTAGGTCATGTCTTATTTTAATTTATATTCTTATTTTTATGAAATATGATGATATGGAGTGAATTGAAATGGAGTTGATTAATTTGAGACATTAATCAACTGGGATGAAATATAATCTTAGTAAAATGGTGGTCATTTACTGAAAATTTTTCATTGGACTTTTTGGTGGATCCCGAGAAGTTATCTACGTCCAGTGGCTTTGTTTCATTTTCCCACATTTGTGCACTTTCACAGATATTAAACAGTTAATAAACCACCGTTATTAAACATTTAAACCTGAATAAACACAAAATAGACAAAATAAAACAAATCACACAGCTTCACTCCTGGCGTTCCCGCCAAAAAGTCTCTTTAATTGACTATAAACAAACGTTGTTGCCAGTTTGTTACCATCAATGTAGTTGGAATGTGACTGAGGGAGCTTTAGTTGTTTCACATCTCATTTCGTTCAATTGACTCGTATTATTGGGAGCTTAATATCTGTAATTGAGTGTGCATTAATCTGAGAGACAAGAACGCGATCACGAAAACGTTAAGAAGAACGTTTATAAAAACGATTGAAGCAGTACAGGTTCGTGCTAAACGATTTGTATCTCATAAATTGATATTTACCCTCAAAATATTTTTTGCTACTTATACAAAATATCATAAAAGTATTTAAATGGTCAGAAAATCTGTAATGTACACCTTGAAGGATTAAAATATATATAATAAAAGTATAGAATATATCTAAGCATTTCAAGTTCAGAATATTTTGAACAAGTGTCGGTAAATGTGAAAATAACGCTTAGATATTCTCATTTGCTTCGTCGCGAAAAAATTAATCGATTTAAAATTGTAGTCGAGAGTAGGAGATAAAAAAAGAACTATATTTGAAGTTTGGCGAATAATAAATCACAGTATAGGCGTAAAAAATAATATTTGGCAGGGTTTTCTAATAAACAGTCTAATTTGTTCAATGTTATGTTTATAATTAAATAGTTATGTAACTAAATCTTCGTAACATGTTGAAAAGCAACGCCACATGTTGCAAGGCTACGTCATGTGTAGCAAATCTATACAACTTGTTGTAAATATAAGCAATTTGTTTAAAAGCAACGTCACGTGTTGTAAAACTACGCAACACGTTGAAAAGTAACGCCACGTGCTGCAAAATTACGCAATATGTGGAAAAGCATCGCCACGTGTTGCAAGGATACGTCACTTGTTGCAAATCTTCGCAACATGTTGAATAGATACTTATATAAATACGTATGTATGTTTTACACTAACATATATTATGTTTTAATTCGAATCCTTTATTACTTACTAAGGCGTAACAGACCCACCTGGTATAAAATGGCTATCGGAGCCCATAAATATCAACAACGTTAATTCCACAGCCTAATTTGAGTCATAAGTTCTAAATCTCATTTCTCTAGTACAATAGCTACTGCACTCTTCAAGCTCAAATGCATTATTGTTTTGCTCCAAAAATAGGCAGCATACGTATGTGGAAATCTTCTAAAAAATAATTATGGTTATGCCTCTGATTGACAGGGTATTATTAAAAATCTCGGTATTGAAGTGAGACGTGTAACACAGATATATTATACTAGCTTTTGCCCACGACTTCGTCCGCGTGGAATAGTTCAAAAATAATGCTTTATTTTAGAATACATTTGGTTAGCATAAAAAAAGTTATAGTGAGCCAACCTTAACATATAGACATATGCTGTCATCATCATCATCATCATCATCATCAGCCTATATCTGCTCACTGCTGGACATAGGCCTTCCCCAATGCCTTCCACATAATGTGGTCCTCCGCCTTCCGCATCCAGCGACTTATAACTTATAACTTTAACGACATCCAACATATGCTGTCGCGGACTTTTTTTATAACTTTTAAAGGGGAACAATTCAGTCATAATATATTATATTAGCAAAACTTGAACCGTTTCTGCAGCGCACGCAGCGGAATCACTCAAAACGGAAACAAACACGGATTTTGAAACATTCTTTATTGGTGCTCCGCTTGCATTGGTCTTCGCGTGATTTTATATAACCTACAACCTTTCTCAATAAATGGGCTATCTAACACTGTAAGAATTTTTCAAATCGAACCAGTAGTTCCTGAGATTAGCGCGTTCAAATAAACAAACTCTTCAGCTTTATAATATTAATTATAGATTAGTATACAGAGGCGCAAAATCATCTTGTGTGATGCCACGAGAACTGAACTACCTACTTATGTTAGCGGATTCACGAATATTAACTTGCTAACACCGCGTTGTACACGTTATGCTTACTTTAGCAAATTAACACTTTTTTCTGGGTAGTAGTCAGTAGACTATTTCTATATTATACTGAACATATTCCATTCAATATAATATGGATATAAAAATGTATATATGCATATTGACATCGTAAAAAAACAGCAAAGAAACATATTTTAGAAAATGAAAATCGTCGATCACAACTTTCTTCATGATTAAGTCATAATGTTAAGAAAGTATGTAAAGTGACTTTGAACATTAAATGAATTATGTCCTATTGGAAGTGAACGATGAAAATGACGGTTGTAATTTTTCATCTTGAGGGTATCATCAAATTTTACGAGCCAATAAACTTAAACCAATACTAACCCCGGGCAAATCGAAGTGTGGTACAGCTCGCACCTCTGGGCACTTTCTTTTGTTTACAATTTTTCCGATCACCGCATTCGAACATAACAAAAACACAATAAACATTAAAGACTTCACCATTTTCATTACCAGGAACTGTCAATTTCGAAAATGGAACTAACCGCTAACTTTTTATTTTTCGTGTTTTTTTTTTTAAATCCAGAACTGACCAACGAAACGTATCGATTATTCCACTGATGCTGTCGTACTAACAAAAAGGGAATTGTTATCATTTTGTATGGGGACATTTGTTAATGGCCGTAAGGACACTACTGGCATACCATTATCTGTGTGACTCATTACAGATGAAGCGACAAAATAAATATTTTATTACTGTTGTTTTGTTTGTATTCAAGTTAAATACAAGGAAGCGGGAACGTTTTTATTGCTGGTACTGAATTATTGTATAAATTATATATACCAGGGCTTTTTAAATTAAAATAATAATAATATAGATTTATTAATTTAGTACAGATAATCTTACATTCGTTGCCTATTTTGAGTATATACTAAATAGTTTTTATGGGTTATTCTGAACTCGCACAAGTTGATACTACGATCCTATCTACATAGCGATGCAAATGTGAATTCCAATTGTAGGGTAGAAACCATTTAAAATTTTTTTTTTTTTTATTGCCCTTGTAGTCAGACGAGCATACGGCCCACCTGATGGTGAGTGGTTACCGTCGCCCATGGACTTCAGCAATGCCAGGGGCAGAGCCAAGCCGCTGCCTACCGCTAATTAAGAATCACATGAGTTTTTTTTTACATTGTAGTAATCGCTTAACAATACTTGGCCTAAAAAGCGATAAAAACTCAAAAACCAGACAATCGTTAATTTAAATATTTATTTTGTTGCTAAGAAATCTATTTACATTACATTTACAGAAAGTGACACTAATTGTTTAGATTAATGATATTTTATTCAAAATTATGTATGCTCTCATAAATAAATGATGCTTATTTACATTTTAATTTTATTAAAATCGAATAGCATTTACAAATTCGAGCACAATTTTTAGTGTTGGCTGTTTTTCGTGAGTTATCGATGTTTTTATTATCGTGATCATAAACGGCTGGTAAGTAAGAAAGATCGTCGTACCCCCTGTCGGGGGCACGGAACGAGCCTCGGGGCAAACCCCACTGCCCGGGCTGAAGCTCCCTGCCACACAGGGCAGGGGTGATATGGGTGCAGGACGAGAATAAGTGCGGTCCGCAGCGTGCACGGCTGCACAACATCGACAAAAATATATACTTATATATAATACGATGGGCTGGTCTGGTGACGGCTCGATGCCCGCGGAGGAGTCACCCCGGCGCCGGCTGCTGTCCTCTGCTTCTTATTTTTTTCCCCCCCTAACTACTAACTATAAGCTATAACTACAACTAACTAACTAATACTAACTATTAACTACTAACTATTTACAATATATACGAGCCGGGACAACAGTCAGCACCGTGGGGCCCGCCACCGGCCCCATGCCGCGGCCCCACCTCTACAAACCAGAGGGGGGCCGCGGCACTAGTTAGGCGCTCACCCGCTCAGGGCTCCCCAGAAGGGGAAGACCGTCGCGGGGAGGGACGATCTTCCCCTTCCCGGGGAGGGACGAGGGGAGTGGTCCACTCACGGGGGTGGTTGAAATAGGTCCCTATGGGGGGCACCCCAACAATGTGGGGGAAAATGACGAGTGTGGACAGTTCAGTCCCATGGGGGCACTCATTATGAGCACTCCCATATCACTCCGGCTAAGCCGACTATCTTACCATAGAAGGTGGGTTCCAGTAGCTCCCTTGGTAGCGCCCGATCATCAGGTGGTCTGGCGTGCAAGGGAGCTAAATTGTGGAGATGCTCGTGGGGTCCACCGTCAGCCTGCTCGTAAAGATTACGAGTTAGCCTCCGGATGAACTCCTCGAGCGACTCCACATCCAGACCCCGGGCGATTACGTCATTTCTGACGTAACGCCCTGCTCCGACTATCGTGCGAAGAGCCAGATTTTGCTGGGCCTGTAACTTCACCCGCATGACCTGCGGGATGAGGTGATACCAGGCCGCAGCTGCGTACGTGATGCGGGAACGAACATACGTCTTGTAAATGCCGAGTCTAGTCCTGATCGGCAACCTGGAGGCCAACACCGGCCGGAGGAGAAACCTCGCGTAGCGGGCGGCCGTCAACGCCGACTTGGCGTGGGCGGTCATCCTCAAACTCGGGTCGATATTGACCCCCAGGTATCGGATGCTGGGCCTAAACTCGACATAGACGCCACGAAGACTGAGCTGTCCTGGGACGACTGTTGTGTGGACCGGACCGAAGAAAATAGCCGCAGTCTTTCCCACGTTGACCGCTAAACGGCTGGTTGTAAAATAAATGGTTTTTAATCATGATTGTTATTAGACAGAGAGGCAGATTATTTTGCGATTCTTCTGATATCATATGGTTATTAGAACCTGTAAATGGCATAATGTTACAGTAAAACATTAATAATATTAAAATAAATGGTGTATTTGAAGAATATGTTATAAAAATTATTTTTCTGCTCAAATAAATAACAATCGCGCGGGCGCACACATGTAGCCCGTCATAATAAAAGGTTTAATGAAAGTTTTGAGTAATACATTTTCTGTTACATTCAGAAGCGGAAAAATAATAATGTTCATCAAAAATAATAAAAATAATATGGGTATATGTTTTTATTGTACTCGTAAACTGTGTTTAACGTGAACAATCAACTTATGAAGGAATTTATTATAATTTGGTTTGAACTATTTTCTGTAGTGACCGTTATCCAGGGTGGAATACAAATGGATTTTTTTTTTCAGGAAGCAAGGGTTAATGTTGACTCGAAGGCCTTTCCAGCTTCACAAGGACATATGGCCGAGCAAAGGCTCAATCAGGAATGGACTAAATGTATCGCGGCTTCCCTTTTAAGTCCAAATAGACTGTGAGCATAATGGCCTGTAATAAATAGAAGCACACACACACATTAACTATGTTAAGCAAAACTTTCCAATTCGAAAATTAAACTACTTTTTTACTGGTGGTAGGACCTCTTGAGTCCCCACGGGTAGGTAACACCACCCTGCGTATTTCTTGTGAAGCAGTAATGCGCTTCGGCTTGAAGGGTGGGGCAGCCGTTGTAACTATACCGAGACCTTAGAACTTATATCTTAAGGTGGGTGGCGCATTTACGTTGTAGATGTCTATGGTCTCCAGTAACCACTAAACACCAGGTGGGCTGTGACTCGTCCACCCAATAAGCAATAAATAAAAAGAAACTAGAGACAAATAACTGTGCTCATCATTGGCACGATATATTTTCGTATGCAAATGAATGCTATTAATCATTCGTAAGCTACAATTTTACATCTTTCAAATATGAATTTCAACGTCATTTTATAACTAATTTTCATATTGTATTGCGAAAATGATTTATTTGATTGTATTTACCGTTAATAGTATAGAAAATAGTGCGAAATTTTCGTAAAAACATTCCAGGTTAGTAATTAGCAATGTAATTTTATCTGTTGCTCCTTTTTGGGATGGAGGAACTTCTGTTCGCATCTGACCTTCCCTGCATCACCAGGACAGAAGGGCGAAGTCAAAGGCTCGGCTGAGAAGGTGGATTCGGTAACAAACTCTCTTAGCGTCTTCAAAGGAGGCCCAACAACTCAAGGGCATCTGTTTCGCGCATCGCTTCCTTAAACCATCTGAAACAAGTTTATTTTAAGTAACAAAGACGGTAGATTCACGCATGGCTTATAGAATTAATAAAATTTATCTTTCTTATTTTTTATTGCCCTTGTAGGCAGACGATCATACGGCCCACCTGATGGTGAGTGGTTACCATCGCCCATGGACTTCAGCAATGCCAGGGGAAGAGCCAAGCCGCTGCCTACCGCTTAATACTCTCCACAAGCCTCGTTTGAAGAAGGACATGTCATAGCGCTCGGGACACACCGTGGAGGGGAGCTCATTCCATAGCCGGAAAAAGACCTCTGGAAACGCACTGTCGATGAACGCAGCGGTTCCAGATAATATGGATGAACTCTGCTCCGATGGCGCGAGGTGCAGTGATAAAAAGGAGATGAAGGGATCATCTCAAACAATTCCTCAGAGCACTCTAATTTAGCTATACCCTTATGTAATTGGAGTTTGTAACTTATTTACGGTTAACGGCTGTAGTCTCAATTAAAATATTTTTACGGTTTAATCTCGACTTCCTTCCGACATTTCGAATACTTTAGAGTCTTCGTGATCACGAACTACTGGAGACTTGCTCGCTTAATTGGGATTATAATTTGTGACTCTGACTGCGGCACCACAAGATTCGAATTTATTTTAAGCAGGAATAACTATCTTTATTAAAATACTAGCCGTACTTGCCCGCTTCACTGGGCATTTAAAATTAGCATGATTATATTTTGTGGTCATTGTTATTAGGAAGTCCAACACTCACATAAATATTAGCCTATCCATTAAATAGCTCGTTCAAACAGATTGACAATTTTCTAGTCAGTTTTAATGGCAAGACTCACAATACTGGTGAGTCGGCACGGGTAGGTACCACCCCCCCGCCTATTTCTGCCGTGAAGCAGTAATGCGTTTCGGTTTGAAGGGTGGGGCAGCCGTTGTAAGTATACTGAGACCTTAGAACTTATATCTTAAGTAGATGTATTTTCTACATGGATACCATGTTTCAAGTCAATCGGATGCATGGTTCAGTAGTTATTAGTATAGATAGTATTAGTATAGATTTGGTAATTTTGGTAACCTGGGTCCCGCGTGTTCTTTATTTAAAACATTTATGTCCGAAGTCCGCATCACTGGAAGTAATTCCTCATGTATGATATTTAATTTTAATCCTTAATCCCCACTTAATTCTGATAAAGAGTATACCTAGAGCAGCGTCTTGAATATGAAAAAAAAACATCGCGCAGTGGAGTGTATTGAGAATCCGTAAATATTCTGCCTATTTCGGTTTAGTCATGTGGAACACATAATTCTAACGTTATAGAGGGTAAGAAAGCAAGCATTATATTAAATAAAGACACACACGGCTCGATGAAGAAACGTAATAACGATTACGTAACCACTCTAAATCCTACTTTTGCTGATAAATGAAACAGGATTGCGCCTCCATTTATCCGGAGCTAACACGTTGAGCATACAAATGTTTATTTGATGTGTGGGAGAATATAAATATTCCGACTGCCTGGGGGAAAGT